ATATGTGTGCATAGTGTTCAATAAATATGTTCGATGATCGATTTGGGTTCAATGCTTAAAAATGTTATATACCATATATTACATGGCTTAATTCTCGGGCAGCAATACCAGAATATTTGCCCCTCAGTGACAGAAAAGCCCAGGAGTGTTATGTCGCCCGATGCCGCAGGCAGAGGGCGACATAACACTCCAGGGCTTTCCTGTCACCTTGGGGCAAATATTCTGGTATGCTGCCCTCGAAGCCATGTAATATATGTATAATAATTTTATTTACGAAAAAATGTTCATTTTTAGAGATGTATATAAATATACCTACTTGTTCCTAGGCCTGAGACTTCAGAATTTTTTTTAATGCAATTTATTTATTTCACATATTATTATATTTTCATTTCTGAAAAAATGTTCATGTTTAGAGATGCATATATGTATGTGTAAAATATTTAAACTTATTGGATGGACTGTGTTCTAAAAACAACCAGATTTATCAAATTTTACCTTTGTTAAGATTCAAGGATATATAAATTTTTCTTTGTCTGTTTTTCTTTTTGATTGCATGTGTTTAATAAAACATCTTGTATATACTTGGAAACATTTATATAAATACTTATTTGAAAATAAATGGTCAAGCTAATGTATGTGAATGTTGTTAATTACATTAAATATTCTTTGATACTAGAGTGAATGTGTTGTGTTTTTTTTTATATTAAATTGAAAATTTAGGGGTAAAAAATGGTTGAGAAAATTTTTGGTATGCAACAGCAAATACAAGGTGAATTATATTTTTGGTTGAAAAGCTGGGCTAAATTATGTGGTCAATACTCTAGTTTCCGTTGCGGACACTTATGGTACACCATATGTATTTTACCTGTTAACGCATACTGAAACCTTTCGTATACCTCAAGTTTCTGTTGCGGAAACATATGGTATATCATATGTATTTCAACCTTATACGCATACTGAAACCTTACGTATACCTCAAGTTTCAGCAAGTTTCAGTTGCGGAATCAATTTGAATTCGTGGACACCTTTCGCACTGTGGAAAGTTGATGAAACACGAAGTTTCCGCACTGAAACTTTGCGTAAACTATTACATGTAGTAAGCTAAAGTTTCCGCAGCGTTTCAGAAGAGTTTCAGCCATGCGGAAACTGTTTTTTTCATCCAGTGACTAAAATAAACATGAAATAACATGAAAAATAAGTTTTTTCACAGTTTTGTTTGATTTGTACCAAGGAATCTATTTTATTCACTGGGATCAATGCTTATGCGCAGTAAAAAATTACGGATATGCAAAAGTTCAAGTTATCAGTACATCAAAATTTTAGGATCTTTTGAGATGTTATTTTTAGGAAAAAAGACATGGATATTATGTAACTATTTTAATCATTCCTAAGTGTATGCATGCAGAATATTCCAAAACATTTAACTCTGTTATACGTTTACAAGTGTCTAATTTACCACGAAATCAATCATTAACATTAGACATAAAATCCGCTTGCATACTCGCTATATCGAGGCAGAGTTTGCTATCCTTCGGAAGCAGCTATGTCGAGGCTCCGGAAATTTAACAATAAATACTTGTGTGTACCTGGAGAGGAAGTGAAATGATTCGGTGTCCCTGAACTTAGGACTGATTCATTTCCCCAACATCTTCGTCCAGGAGTTGTTGGATATAACCCTTACTGTGTGTTTTTTCACATGGGATGAAATGACATTATTTATTCTACAGGTCCTAGACACGTTTTAAGACTTAAGAACATTCGAGAAAGTCTTTTGAATGCTGAGGATAAGTGTGTGTACGTTGCCGAGGTGATGACAAGGGGAAATTTCGAGCGTTGCTCAGACATGACCGTCTCCAAGGCCCTTATTCGACAGAAAAAGAAAGATCAACAACCTTCTGCGATCCGCCCTAGGGAAATGCTTCGTGGTGTTTAAGGACATCCAGTAACCGAAAGACTTGACAGAGACCAGGTACAGTTTTCCTCGATATTTTTTTTATAATTCTGATCAGTTTTTGTCATCAAGTGGTACTTTCTATCTGTTAATCAATGATATATTTATAAACTGTAAAAGTTTTAACTTTATAAATCACATAGTTTTTGAACTATAAACATTTTAAAAAAACAAAACCTTTTTAGACACGTTGGTCTTCGATGAAACCTTAAAAATATATAATTAAATGACACAGGTAGTTGACATACATGCTGGTCAGTAAGCACTCCATTTCATTTTATATTATACAGAGGCAGTAAAGCGTGTCTGGAGAAACATGAGGGATGACCTCAAAAGAAAGAGAGACGGGAAGATGGAGGAGCATCGACGCAAGAATATAGATGCCAAACGCAAAAGAGATGTAAGTATTCTGCTTCATCATAAACTGCTTTAAATCAATGAACATATTTATCATTTAAGATAGAGTTATGTCCCTTGCACTCGGAAAAATTCCAATTATTAAGGCCAGGGGGCAACAATAAACAACAAACGGAATTTTTTAAGGGTAAATAAGTGGTATTTTCATTAATGTTGTACGAATTTAAATTTCTAAGTATATATTTCAAATCATGGCATATGGCATTTACAAGAAATGTGGAAATTCTCCAAATATTATGAAAAAACTAAAAATAGATGTCTGGATGGGCATATATTTTGGTTGTAAAATGATAAACTTCCTTACTATGGTGTTCAAATTCCCACCTTTCTGTAACCACCGTTATTAATCTTTACATTGTTTTGTTAAATAAAATCACCTCATATCCCATTATTGTGAAATTTTATGAAAAATTAAAACTTGTGCCCTGTAACATTGTTCATTTTACTTAAGGGCTAGATATGAAAAAGAAGAGGTTGACATCTTGTCAGAATGGATGAAATGTATCAAATCCATATTAAAGTCGCGTATTAAACGATTGAGGGGCAATATGAAAACCATCTATCACTCTGTTTCGTTACTCCTCTCTAAGATACCGTCAGTAGTGAAGGAAACACTTCAAGAGTACTGTGCAACAACATATTCAAGAAGGGATGTGAATCAGATGTGGATACTAAAAAAATTCCAAAGAACTTTTAGGCAATTTGAAAAGAAAAGATTTTACCAAAATCAGCTGCTTAAAAACTTTTCATTATTATTCACAACCGTTTCCTACGATAAATTAAAGTCCAGGCTTTTTTGTATCATTGACAGCTGCTTTTTCTAAAAAAAAAATAGAACTCGTAAATTTACTCACCAGATCATTGGTCATTTTTAAAAATATTTTGTTAAAACACATTCTGATTGCAAACACAAACGCAAACGTTTTCATCAAAGAGATGCTTGAATTTCTGGACGACAATATCTACGTGGTTTTTGGAGACCAGGTTTTCCAACAATCTATTGGAATTCCCATGGGTAAAAATTGCGCTCCGTTATTAGCAGACCTTTTTTTATATTTATGTAAAGCTGAATTTGTGCAAAATCTTATGCGTAAAAATAAGAAAACAATTGCTGGGGCCTTCAACACCTGTTGCAAGATGTGCGTGAAGTGATGCAAACCAACTACTTATTCCAAGAAGAGGATAAAAATGCAGAGATAGGAAAACTTTACGATAGGTTCAAAGCGTCTATAGTCTTCATTCTTCTAAGTGGCTGAGAAATCAGTAATAACAAAGCGTCAAGAAGAATTGAGAGTATCCATAAATCTCCCTATGAAGCGAGATCTTTTTAAGAATAGGGAGTATACAAAGCAAACGATTTAAAAGCTCCGTGGCGATGGCTGCTCTTTATATGAACACCCTGAGTTCTGCAACTTGCGTGATGCTCTTGTTAGTCCGGAAAATCTGACGTTTTTCTGGCTTTTTTACGATTTTGATATTTTACATGCCAGGAAAACGTCAGAACCGGCGCCACTACGAAAACTGGGAATTTCACCGTCTTCAACCGGGGCTAATTTTCGATACTTGTGAACCGACCTAAATGCTGAAATCAGAATTTATCAAAAGCACAATGCCCCTCGTACTCACCAATATCGATGAAAAGAAAATATCGCTCCACAGTTCGTAATAGGACTTGCAAGGTTTTAAAATGCGTAAAAGGAAGACAAATCTCAAGTGTGATAAAACTTTTTTCAACGGATTATTTATTTCATAAATGCACCATAAAACTATATTGGTAAGTTTTTCAGTAATGTACTATTGATAACTTTTGACTTTGAAATTTAATTCAGTTCACAAGTATCTAAAATCAACTCGAGAATGCTGCCTCCAGTTGGAGGCGGCGATTTCCCAGTTTACGTAATGGCGCCGGTTCTGACGTTTTCCTGGCATGTAAAATATCATAAAACAATCTATGATTGATTATTATTTCTGATTATTTATGTATGTTGCCCATTTTCTGATGTGGGGATTTCCCCTTAGCCATCGATATTTTTAGCACGCTTATTTACATAATATACTACTGCGCATGCGCTATTTCTCTCAAATTTCGGCCATGTAGAAGATTGCTGTCTGTAAAAGGTTTTCTATAAATTCATCACGACATGAGTATTCTTAAAAGTTTACGGATTTCACGCCTGGCGACTTCCTCGCCACCCTCCATAGGTAAATTGCATGATTTCGTCGTCTAGACGGAGTAAATGCGATAGCGTCACTTGGTGCATTGTCTTCAGGCCGTCGGCCATTACGGTAGGACCACACTGTTTATTAACAATTTATGCGTGTGTCAGTGAATCAACAACTATATTTTTATTTCGCACCATGTCGACTTTGTGCGTGTGCGACTCTCATGTAAACTGATTGAGCTCTTATATTGGTGCGCACTTATCTAGCTCTTCAGTGTTCAATATAGCAGGACTAAATGAAGTTAAATTTTACGGGATAAGTGGTGGATTAATTTCCAGTGACCGACAACTGAATCTGATAAGCGCTGCTGTTCGCCAATACGACCCCATTAAATAATAGTGTGTTTGGGCGGTAATGAACCGTTTTAATCTATGGAAGGTCACTGTCCTCAGTTCCTTTCCCACCAGACAAATAACAGCGCATGAGTATACATGTAGGCATAAAACGTCAGTTGCTAACCAGTTTTTGCGCGATGCATGTCCTCAGTATCGGATTTCATTTTGGAAATTAAGAGGTTTTACAGACAGCCAAAATCAAACTTTGAGTGATAGTGTACACCTCAATAGACTGGGCTTTCATAAACTAATCAAACAATTACGAGGCATTTTATTGTCACAACAGTAACATTCTGAACACTATTTTGTACACATCATATTCTAAACAGGTTAGAAGACAGGGGCTTCTACCTATTTATAATTAAGAGTGCAAAATCTTTGTTTGTTCGTAATATTCATTCACATTTAAATGTCAATATCTAATTTATTTATATCAAATTTGTTTAAAGAAAAAAAATGTACATAATTTACATTCCATGAATACAATTTACTTTGCCTATTTTACAGTGCTTGTGACTGTGCCATTGATGGTCATTATCGTAACCTTGACATTCTTAAGACGCCAAAACAGGTATCGATTAAGTCACTCGACTTGACTATATTTTTGGTAAACACTTGCTTGCTAACCTGGTACACAAGGAATAATACAATTTATATGTTTTGGAACTAATTGTTTAAGTGGTCTCAAAACTCTGTTAAGGTAGCGTTTCTCGCTCAACAGGCTAAACAGTCCATTTACCGACCGTTATTAACTAGATATTCAGTAGCTATAAGCATATAAAGATTTTGTACCCGGGTTAACAACAAAACGATACCTGTTAAAGAGTAAAATTTGCTCTTATAGCATATATATCTTAGCTTTAAGCATGTTGTAGCTCCAAACATATGTTAGCTTTAAGCATTAACCACATGAGACTTTCCCAATTCTGGGATACATATTTCAGTGGTCAAAAAGATATTAGTAGCTGATAGCATATGATTAGCTCCAAGCATAACCTTAGCTCTAAGCATAAGACAAGTGAATAAACCTTCCTATAAGGAAGATATAAGTAGCTAAAAGCATGTAAAGCATTTCCCGCTTTAAATCCATGACTATGTTATATATTTTTAATGATTGGTATTTTAATCTGATTATTGATCATACATAGAAATGGCCACCAGACCCAAACGGCGAAAGAAGGGAGATTCATCCCCAGCGGTTCCAGCCACCTCGGCCCCAGCAACTACAAACCAGTCCATCGAGGATTTAGTAAGAGGTTACATGAGCTCAATAATCCCCACCATAAAAAGCACTTGTAGGCAAGTCATTACAGAAAAAATGTATACCATGCAGACATCAGCAGCTTCAAACACACCACCTTCAGCTCCACCCTCCCAGGCACCCCAACAAATGGCACCTACGCTAACGACACCAACACTGCTGCAAGAAATAACAACTGAAGGTACATTATCCCTTAATTTACAGGGCACACCAACCCCACCCAAATCTGACCCTCCCCCATCAGCTACGTTGTTAACACTGGGGGTTGACGATAAGACTCGGGCAAAGATCCATGCTGGGGAATATGTTTAGTTTGCGTCCCTTTTGCCATCTGACTTAAACATGCCCGAACAAAACAACTACAAATCAATCGATAAAGATGGGCAATTGCTTTTTATTAAATCAAATGATAAGGATCCAATTAAGTCTATTGCAAAGTAGACCGAAGCATTCCAAATCTTCGTTGCCATTTTCGCGGAGAAGGCCCCAGCTGAAATGAGTTACCTAATGCTTTATGCGCAAACTGTGCAGAAAATTGCTGATTCCTGCGGGGATCAGGCAGCCCTTCTATATGACGAGAAGTTTCGGCGTTGGAGGCAAAGAGACCCCAAAGCTTGTCCTTAGGCAAAATAAAAATGTCGAACTGTATCAAGAAACAGTCCTTTCAGGCCTAGATTATCAGCTAAAAAACAAGAAACAGGCCTTTCGGACTCCAGCAAAACACAAATATTGCTTCTTGTTTAACAATCACGGAACATGCCCCAAAGGCAATGCTTGCCCCCATCCATTTGTGTGTCAGCTCTGTGCAGAAAAAAACTATAGGAAACTGCCTAAAATTCAAAACTTCATCCCGACAAAGTTCTACCAATGCTTCCAACAACGCCTCCAATAATTCCTCTAACAATCCCGCTACATCTACCAAATGATCAATTTATTACAACTCCAACACAGGTCTGCAGTTTAACTTCTTACAAAATATGACACAAAGTTGGCTGATTTTCTCATTCAGGACTTCACCTTTGGTTTCAAAATCCCATATAAAAGACCTCGTCTATTTACGACATCTCAAAATCTCTCTTCCATCAAAGGGAAAGAACATATTCTATACGAAAAAATCGAATAATAGCTAAAACACAAACGCATAGCTGGACCTTTTTGTGCACCTCCTTTTCCCAACATTCAAATTTCCCTATTAGGTCTAGTTACTACACAAGATGTGTTTGTGAAACACTTTGCGCCCGGTGTCAACAAAGTTCGAAAAAGCTATTTTTAGTATATAGGTCACAGTCAAGGTCACAAGGTCATTGACATTGGTGTTGTTTCTAAGAACTTAGTGGGGTATGCATACTTAATATGAAGTCCCTATCTCCTATGGTTCAAAAGTTATGGCAAAAAGTGGAAAAAGCTATTTTTAGCATATAGGTCACAGTCAAGGTTACATGTCATTAAGCTTGGTGTTGATTGAAAGAACTTCATTAGTGGAGTATGCATATTAAATAAGAAGTCCCTTTCTCAAATGGTTCAAAAGTTATGGCAAAAAGTGGAAAAAGCTATTTTTAGCATATACCGTAGGTCACAGTCAAGGTCACAAGGTCATTGACCTTGATGTCATTTGAAGGAACTTTATTAGAGGAGTATGCGTACTAAATATGAGGTCTCTGACTCTTATGGTTCAAAAGTTATGACAAACAGTTGAAAAAGCTATTTTTAGCATATAGGTCACAGTAAAAGTCATAAGGTCATTGACCTTGATGTCATTTGAAGGCACTTTATTAGACGAGTATGCATACCAAATATGAAGTCTATCTATCTTATGGCAAACAGTTGAAAAAGCTATTTTTAGGTTCAAAAGTTTTTGATGTCATTTGAAGGTTAAAGTTGACAACAGACAGACAGACAAACAGATAAACAGACAGGACAAAAACAATATGCGCCCCGAAAAAATTCGGGCGCATAAAAATCCCCAGGTGAATTTAATTCATCATCTATCTTTTCCAGAGGAGGGTTGCATTAATCATTTTATTCCTAAGGAATTCTTTACTGTACAGTATCACTCTATTCAAACTGCTATTGAAATCATTCATAAGGTGGGAAAGGGAGCTTTATTAGCTTTTTTTATTATTAGATATTGAGAATGCATACAAACAAATCCCAATCCACCCCAGTGACTTCGAACTCAATTTATAGGCCCGTGCAGATTTGAAAGTTTGGCAAGTGTTCTTGGAACACTTTAATGGGAAAGCCCTTTTCCCATCAAACGTTGTGCATTCAACCTCTTCTTTGCACTTTTTTACAGATGCAAGTAATTTAGGTTTTGGGGGAACATTTGGTAAGAGATGGTTTTCTCAACAATTCTCACCAGATTGGTTATCTTACCATATGTAAGTTCGCGAGTTCTTACCCATTGTAATAGCATTCGAACTTTGGGGGTCTTGTCTTGCCAATTCCACAGTTGTCATTCATGCAGATAACTCTGCAGATGTCAACGTCATTAATAAAACCACATCCAAAGATAGAAAGCTCATGCAAGTAATGAGAAGATTAATGATTTTGTCTTTATTGCATAGCATTCATTTTCAAGCACAACATATTCTTGGTGTAACTAACATAGCAGCAGATCTACTTTCTCGGTTACAGGTGCAAGAGTTTTTCCCGAGATTTCCGCACATGGCCAAAGAACCGACACCGGTTCCACTCTCTTGTGAGGATCTGAATACGACAGCTGATGTTTTAGTGCGCAATTCCCTTTCCAAATCTACAGCTTTAGCTTACAAGACAACCTATTTAACTTATGCACATTTTGTGGCTCAAGTTTTCGGTACCAGTTTAGTCTACCCTCTTCATTACAACACTTATCAGCCTTCATTGCTCATTGTTATCTTAAAGGATTAGCGGCATCAACAACTCGCACATTCATCTCCTCACTTAGTTTTATTTTTCAGTTAAGAAACTAACCAGATATAACTCAAACTTTTCTGGTACAGAAAATGTTACAGGGTTTTCACAAATCCAAACCTTCATCTGACCCCTGGTTGCCAATTACGCTGGAAATCATAAGTTCTATTCTTAATTCCTTAGAACACACAACTTCTTCCTTATTTATCAAATTGCTTTTAAAAGCCATGTTTACCCTTGCCTTTTGCGCTTTTCTTCGCATTAGGGAGATAACCAAATCTTCAAATTCCACACAACATTATCTTCTGTACGATAATGTTCCTTTTGATTCAGATGAACACCAGAATGGTTATTTTGAGGTTAATATCCCCCAATTCAAACATGCAAAATCTAGCACTGCTACCCTTCGAATGTACAAAAACAAAAATAAGCCAGGTTTCCATACCTTTCCTGACGTGACTATCTGAATGTTAGGAAACACATTTCACCATCTGACCCCCCGTTTTCTTTCACGGATGACATCCCTTTCTCTAAACAATACCTTACACAACAACTCCGTTTAGCCCTTTCTTTCTGTAATTTTGATCTGAACCGTTACCGGTCTCACTGTTTCCGAATCGGAGCAGCAACCACTGCAGCGACACGAGGATTCACCGAGCTTCAAATTCAGACAATAGGTAGAGGGAAGTCCAATGCTTTCAGGAAATATATCCGTATCCCTACACTACAATTTTAGAACTTTCCATTTGCTTCAGTCAGGGGCTGATAGCAAACTCAATCTTGTAACGTTAACATTTCTCTTAGTAACCAATCAGACAGGGGCTGATGGTTGCTGTTACCAAGCGTACTCACTATTTTCTTGCTGGACTAAAACTGATTAAAGACTTGTGTCAGTATAAGCATGTAGATGCGAGAAAGGAAAAACCAATCAGACAGGGGCTGACGGTTACTGTTATTTACCAAATATTTTCACTTTTTTGTGATGACTGTAACTGATTAAGGATTTGTGTACACACGCGAAGCGAACACCAATTAGACAGGGGCTGATGGTTTCCCATACTTCTTGTCATCTATTATTTTTTGTTTTTAGTTTTGTTTCAGACCTGCCTACCCTTCCGCTTTTGGCATAATTCTTCCGCTTTTTACCACAAATTTACGTTCTACTTTCCCATTTTTCCGTTCGTTCAGCGTTCGCTCTTCGTTCACAGTATTGCGTTCACCGTGCGCTCGCGTTCACAAAACGTTCACCGTTCGCTCTTCGTTCCGTTTACTTTGCGTTCACCTTGCGTTCACCGTTCACTTATCGTTCAGTCTTCATTGTCATTCGGAACTCCTAAGTGAAAGGACTTATCTTTTAGATGGTAAGCATTTACATGTTTTTTTAATTAAATAACTTAGATATCGTGTTTGAAGAATAATTATTTAATTGCAAAACTTATCTACGGTATTTATATTTCTATTATTATAACTCAGCTGTTACTTATTTCATGAATTTTCCCTGGAAAATAATTAATACATTAAGTACCTACATGTATGTAGAACGATATTAAAATATTAACTTCAAAAAAGGGCAATGTACAAATGTTTCACGCACGGCATCAATTTGATTTAATTTTAGAGAGGACAAATGATTAATATTGTATAATAATTAATCCAAGTCTTTTACAGAACAAGAATACATAAAAAAAAATATTTCTACAATAACACGTATTTAAACTGCATGTAGGTTTGAGAATTATGAACAGTACTGCAAATATTCAGTTAATTAAATATCTTTAGAGATAATTAAATTGATGGTGTGTTTAAAATTTTAGAAAAGACCAACTGTTTAAAATAGTCTACTATTAGAGAAGGAAAATTCCTTCCTTCACCGTACCTAAACATATGGTTAAAAATATGTTATTTGCCATTCAGTATAATTAACACCCCCCCCCCCCCCGGTGCCTTTTCTCCCGAAATAAAAATCTTATTGAGGTTTTACAGTATATTTTAATTCATATTTAATTTTTATTGTAACACAAGAAAATCAGTCTTAAAACCAACATCAAACAGTCATTAAACAATAGTATTTTAGTAAAAACTTGTGCCGACAGAAGAATTTTAAATTGGCAGGGAATATGTTTCACATTCAATTTAAAACTTAATCCTTCCAAGTACATGTATATATTCGAATTATTTTTTCTGCAGGAATGCAAAAATGCAGATCTAGAAATGATAGGGAAAAATATTAAAATTTCTCGGAATACTAAGTGACTCTTCGCCCTCGGTGAAAAGCGATTTCCACATCTCCACTGTGTCGAATTATTTTGATTGACAGCACAAGCACGCTTCTACAAATGTAGCACGGACTTCCTGTGAGGTGTGTGAAAATGATGGAAAATAAAAGCCAATGATTACTGTCAAATGGATTTGTTGATCTAAAAAAAAAAAAGATTACTTTTATTGCTTGGAATATTTAGGAAAAATAATAATTTTTATTTGATACAATATATATCTGAGAATTGAGGGGGTTATCTCTCTCTCTCTCTCTCTCTCTCTCTCTCGTACATTTCTCTGTTCAATAAAAACTATGACAGCATATTACTTATTTAGTTTTGATAATTTTATCTACGCATGTATTACAAATAATTTGAATGCCTCTTTCCAACATCTTGACCGAGTATAATCACGGCCGGGAAATGTCTACAGATACATGAAGAAGTTAGCAAAAAATAATTGTCATAAAAAAATACAAGAGGCCCCTGGGCCTTATAGGTCACCTGAGCATTATTCAACAACTTTCCAGTGACTGAATTTGATCCATGTTTTAAGCCAGATGCTATAGCATTTACAATCTGGTCATCATAACTATACACTTAGCAGTTCCTTAGTTTGGTTACTTTATACCCATAGGCAGGGTAGGGGAACAAAAAATGCATTTCAACTAATCAGTAATATTCAGCAATAATCAGTAGTGCCGCTACCACACATGAACCCTCGACTCTTAGGCCTAGATCCACACATTGCACTATTTTTGGAAAGGCATACTTGCTTTTCAAAAATATTTGATTAATACCAAGGAGCACATTTCAAACAATTCATTCATTTTCAGTACATAAGTACAGCCCCCCCCCCACTATGGTACAACTGACCCTGGGGCCTTGAAATTTACAATTCTTGAAGATTAGGTATTGCTCATAACTATATAGGTAATTCATCTGCTTAAAACCTAGGAGCAAAGATGAAAATATTCAAAGATTTAATGTTTTTTCACTATACATGTATAATCAATACAGCCCCGCCCTAACACCAGAATCCCTGACCCTGGGGCCATAAAATTCACAATTTTGGCAGAGGCACTCTTGTTCATCATAACTATGTACTTAGTTAGTTTATTTAATACCCAGGAGTAAAGAAAAAGATTTTCAAAGAATTCATGTATTTCCTCTATATAATCAATAGAGCCCCACCCTGACACCAGAACCCCTGACCCTGGGGCCATAAAATTCACAATTTTGGTAGTGGCACTCTTGCTCATCATAACTATGTACTTAGTTAGTTTATATAAAACCTAGGAGCAGAGAAGAAGATTTTCAAAGAATTCATGTATTTTCACTATATAATCAATAGAGCCCCGCCCTAAAACCAGAACCCCTGACCCTGGGGCCATAAAATTCACAATTTTGGTAGAGGCACTCTTGCTCATCATAACTATGTACTAAGTTAAATTATATAAAATCTAGGAGCAGAGAAGAAGATTTTCAAAGAATTCATGTATTTTCACTACATAATCAATAGAGCCCCGCCCTAACACCAGAACCCCTGACCCTGGGGCCATAAAATTCACAATTTTGGTAGAGGCACTCTTGCTCATCATAACTATATGCTTAGTTAGTTTATTTAATACCCAGGAGTAAAGAAGAAGATTTTCAAAGAATTCATGTATTTCCTCTATATAATCAATAGAGCCCCGCCCTGACACCAGAACCCCTGACCCTGGGGCCATAAAATTCACAATTTTGGTAGAGGCACTCTTGCTCATCATAACTATGTACTTAGTTAGTTTATTTAATACCCAGGAGCAGAGAAGAAGATTTTCAAAGAAATAATGCATTTCCACTATATACTTATTTAGCCCCGCCCTAGTACAAGAACCCCTGACCCCAGGGCCATGAATTTCACAATTTTGGTAAAGTACTCAATGCTGATTACAATAATGCAAACAGTTTGACTGCTTGATGTCCAGGAGTAAAGAAGAAGATTTTTGAAGATTGCATTAATTTTAGTGGTTTTGGCCCCACCCCCCAGGCCCCAGGGGGGCAGGGACCATGAAATTCACAATTTTTGTTCCCCTTCACCCATAGATGCTTTGTACCAAATTTGGTTGAAATTGGTTCAGTGGTTGCAGAGAAGAAGCTGAAAATGTTCAAAAGTTTACGACCGATTGACGACGAACGACGTACGACGAACGACGTACGACGGACGACGACGGACAAAAACAGATAGCAATAGGTCACCTGAGTGACTCAGGTGACCTAAAAAAGGCACATAAATATAGAGCATTTTTCAGTAGAATCTAAATAAACGAGATTTTTTATGCAGTACGATAACAATCGATGTCAACAGATAAATGTGAATTTAAAAAAAAATCCGTTATTTTACTCAGAATCGCTTTGGCACGGCAATACATGTACGGTTGTTTCAACCCCGTACAGTGTAATTAATTCAATCTATAAGTAGTAGTTTTTTATGTTCAGAAGTCCACATTATTTTATTAGTGAAAAGAATAAGCATAATTATTTACTATATTAGTAGATTGATTTATTTTTTAACTACACGCGGTAACAAATACACGTTTGACGACGATTAAAATCATGTTATTAAAATATTGATTTAAACATAGATATGTGCAGAAAAAAATGTTTTTATTTATTTATTTATTGATGAATGAATGAATTAATTAATTTATTTATTTATTTATTTATCTATTGTTTATCTCAGTAGTAGTTTCATCTTCTAAAGTCCACATTATTTTATTAGTTAAAAGAATGAGCATTATTATTTACTATATAAGATTAATTTATTTTTTAATTACACGCGGTAACAAATACACGTTTGACGGCGATTAAAATCGTGTTATAAAAACATCTATTTAAACATACGTATGTGCAGAATTTTATTTTTATTATTTATTTATCTATTTATTTCTCTTTTGTTTATCTATTGTTTATTTATATTTATTTATGACATTTCAATTATAGAATAAAAGAATAATTTCAATGCAATTTAAAGACCAAAGGCATTCCGAATAAATCGTTCATCTTGCGTTCACCGTTCGTTCACCGTTCACTTTGGGCTCGCGTTCGCGCTCCGTTCGCGTTC